GAAGACTAGAGTGACACATCAACAAGCCAAGGAACACCACAGATTTTTTTCTCAGTGGTCAGTAATGGTTTTTAACCAATTTAGAGCTTCCAGTGCTCCAAATAGGTAGTCGATTGCCAGACTATTATTTTTCTTTATAGATACTTGTTCTCTCTTTGACTTGTAAAAAAAAAAAAAAAACCTATCCTTATCTTAAAATAGTAGATCAATAAGTTTATTAAAATACCTGGCACATTCTTTAGAACTCTGTGTAGTTATAAAAAGTTTAAATTTATTAAGATTTGGTAATGCTATAATTTGTAGCTAAATGTATTAAGGAAGTAAAAAAGGAGCAAATATTTGTCTTAAGCAAGAGTACTTGGGCAAGGGCAAACTTTTCACAAATCTCTTTAAAATTACCTATTCTCCATACTTTCTATTTTTGATTGCTCTTTCTTTAAAATTGTTTATTGAGATATAATTCACATACCATGAAATTTACTCTTTTAAAGTGTACAATTCTGTGGTTTTTAGTATCTTCACAGAGTTGTACAAAACACTTGGCCATTTCAACACTTTTTACATATGCAATTGGATCATACAGTATTTGTCCTTTTGTGACTGATTAATTTCATGTAGCATAATGTTTTCAGCATGTATCAGGACTTCATTTCTCATTATGACTAATAATCTATTGTATGTATATACCACATTTTGTTTATCCATTGATTTATTGATGGACATTTATGATGTTTCTACTTTTTGATTATTGTGAATAGTGCTGCAATAAACATTGATGTACAAGTATCTGTCTGCGTATTTTCTGTCTCTTTACATCTCTTTTATATTTTCTGTCTTCCTGTCTCTCAAAATGCATTCTTGTGATTTCTTCAGATCTATCTTCCAATTCACTAATTCACTTGAGCTATTTCTAATGTGCTTTTTTAACCCATCCATTGAATTTTAAATTTCAACAATTATTTTTTCTACCTAAAGCTTCCACTTGTTTATTTTTCAAATATGTCAAATCATTCTGCTTTTCTTACTAATTTTTTTTCTATCTGAGATTTTAAAAAATACTTTATAATTACTTTACATCTTGTATCTGATAATTCCAGTATCTAAAATCCTGGGGATATCTAAATCTGTTGGTAGCTTCAGTCTCACCAATGATGTCTTTTTACCAGTTGGTAATTTCTCTAAAGTGAGTTCATATTTAGATGAACTGAATCTTTAAAAGACTCCAATCAATCAAACCAAAGCCACTGCCGTCGAGTCGATTCTGACTCATAGCAACCCTACAGGATAAGGTAGAACTGCCCGATAGGGTTTCCAAGAAGCGGCAGGTGGATTCGAACTGCTGACCTTTTGATTAGCTGCCGTAGCTCTTAACCACTGTGCCACCAGGGCTCGTAAAAGAGTCCACAGGGGTTAGAATAAGGATGCCTCTTTCCAGAGAGGATACGAGTTTGTTTCTGAGAGGTATCAAGGAGCACTAACAAACTGACCAAATTTAAATTAATTTCTACTCTTCCAGGGCAATAAAATTCAAATTCCAGATTCATATGAGGCAGGCCTATGCTTTCAAATTCCCAGAAGCAACTCCTCCATACACATGACACCCCATCCAGGATGGAGACAGACAGCTTCCCTTAAGGATCCTGCCTCAAAGCAGAAACATACTCTTATTTTCAAACCTATTCATTCCTCACCAAAGGTGTAATTCTTTTGGAGATCTAGGCTTCACAGAGGAATCTCATGTCACTGGTGATTGGAATGTGAAAGTTGGAAACAAAGAAAAAGGATCAGTAGTTGAAAAATATGGTCCAGGTGACAGAAACGATGCCAGAGATGCCATGATAGAATTTTGCAAGACCAGTGACTTATTCATTGCAAATATCTTTTTTCAACAACATAAATGGCGACTATACATAAACACCGGATGGGATACACAGTCATCAAAGTGACTACATCTGCAGAAAGAGATGATGGAGAAGCGCATGTGCAAGTTCACGTTGAAGCTGAAGAAAATTAAAACAAGTCCACAAGAGCCAAAGTACGACCTTGAGTATATTCCACCTGAATTTAGAGACCATCTCAAGAATAGATTTGATGCATTGAACACTAATGACTGAAGACCAGACGAGTTGTGGAATGACATCAAGTATATCATACATGAAGAAATCAAAAGGTCATTAAAAAGACAGGAAAGAAAGAAAAGACCAGAATGGATGTCAGAAGAGACTCTGAAATTTGCTCTTGAATAGAGAGATGCTAAAGTTAACAGAAGAAATGATGAAGTAAAAGAGCTACACAGAAGATTTCAAAGGGCAGCTCAAGAAGACAAAGTAAAGTAATATAATGAAATGTGCAAAGACCTAGAGATAGAAAACCAAAAGGGAAGAACATACTCAGCATTTCCCCAGCTGAAAGAACTGAAGAAAAAATTCAGGCCTTCAGTTGCAATACTGAAGGACACTATGGGCAAGATGGAAACCCTGGTAGTATAGTGGTTAAGAGCTACAGCTGCTAACCAAAAGGTCAGCAGTTCAAATCCACCAGGCATTCCTTGGAAACCCTACGGGGCAGTCCTACTCTGTCCTATAGGGTCGCTATGAGTTGGAATCAACTCAACGGCAATGGGTTTGGTTATTTTTTGGTATGGGCAAGATACTGAATGACAAATTTTTAAATGAGAAATTAACTTGAGCTGTAAACTTTCACCTAAAGCACAATAAAAATATGTACATATATATATAGAACAATGTGGGAAGCATCAACGGAAGATGGAAGGAATACAGAGTCACTGCACCGAAAAGAATTGGTCAACATTTAACCATTTCAGGAGGTAATATATGATCAAGAACCGATGGTATTGAAGGAAGAAGTCCAAGCTGCACTGAAGGCACTGGCAAAAAGCAAGACTCCAGGAATTGATGGAATACCAATTCAGACATTTCAACAAACAGATGCAACACTGAAAGCGCTCACTTGTCTATGCCAAGAAATTTGGAAGACAACTACCTGGCCAACTGACTGGAAGAGATCCATATACGTGCCTATTCCAAAGAAAGGTGATCCAAAGGAATGCAGAAATTATCGAACAGTATCATTGATATCACACGCAAGTAAAATTTTGCTGAAGATCATTCAAAAACAGTTGCAGCAGTACATAACAGGGAACTGTCAGAAATTCAAGCCAGATTCAGAAGAGGACGTGGAATGAGGGATATCACTGCTGATGTCAGATGGATCATGGCTGAAAGCAGAAAATACCAGAAATATGATTACCCATGTTTCAGTGACTATGCAAAGGCATTTGACTGTGTGGATCATAACAAATTATGGGTAACATTGCGAAGAATGAGAATTCCAGAACATTTGATAGTGCTCATGTGGAACTTGTACATAGACCAAGAGGTTGTCCTTCAAACAAAACAAGTGGATACTGTGTGGTTTAAAATCAGGAAAGGTGTGTGTCAGGGTTGTATCCTTTCACCATACTTACTCAGCCTGTATGCTGAGCAAATAATCTGAGAAGCTGGACTATATGAAGAAGAACATGGCATCAGGACTGGAGGAAGACTCATTAACAACCTGTGTTATGCAGATGATGCAACCTTGCTTGCTGAAAGTGAAGAGGACTTGAAGCACTTACTGATGAAGATCAAAGACTATAGCCTTCAGTATGGATTACACCTCAACATAAAGAAAACAAAAATCCTCACAACTGGACCAATAAGAACGTCATGATAAACAGAGAAAAGATTGAAGTTGTCAAGCATTTCATTTTACTTGGATCCATAATCAATGCCTATGGAAGAAGCAGTGAAGAAATCAAATGACATATTGCACTGGGTAAATCTGCTGCAAAAGATTTCTTTAAAGTGTTAAAAAGCAAAGATGTCACTCTGTAGACTAAGGTGCACCTGACCCAAGCCATGGTATTTTCAATCGCCTCATATGCATGCAAAAGCTAGACAATGAATAAGGAAGACCAAAGAAGAGTTGATGCCTTTGAATTACAGTGCTGGAGAAGAATATTGAGTATACCATGGCCTGTCAGAATAATGAACAAATCTGTCTTGGAAGAAGTACAGCCAGAATACTCCTTAGAAGCAAGGATGGTAAGATTTCATCTCATGTACTTTGGACATGTTATCAGAAGGGACCAGTCCCTGGAGAAGGACACCATGCTTGGTAAAGTATAGGGTCAGCGAAAAAGAGGAAGACCCTCAGTGAGATGGACTGACACAGTGGCTGCAACAATGGGCTCAAACATAGCAACAACTGTGAAGATGGCATAGGACTAGGCACTGTTTCATTCCGTTGTACACAGGGTTGCTATGAGTCAGAACCAACTTGACGGCACCTAACAACAACGTGTTCTGCAGCCTATATTGTGGAAGGTCTCCCCACAGAGCTGTTAATCCCCAAAACTCTACGTGCCTGGAAGTGCCATTTACCTCCAGCCTCAGTACCCCCTACCTTTAACTCTCTAATTTTTGTCACTAGGGTTTGTTATTTTTCAATTTGCCTTTGGGAATTTCCTCTACTTTCTTCCACGTTTAGCAATGCACTTAAAAATAGGATGTTTTCTCTGATTGGGTATCGAGATGTTTTTTACTAATAAAAATGCTTCTCAGATTATTTATCCTACCATGGTTCCACACATTCTAAGTGGGCTATGAATTTTTAATACTAAAAGAACATAATTAACATGTTATCCCTAAGCTTCAGTGGATTTCTTACATTCTCCATTTCTTTTACTTACCCGTGCAAAGTCAAAATGTGGTTCATACTGTCCTCCAACTCCATAATTTGCTACCTGAAGGAGACAAACAAAGCATGAGTAAAAGAACTATTAGGATTACTACTGCAAAAATCCATGAGACCCATTTTGGCCTCTTTATACCATGGTTAGGTACTTCTAGAGAAATGAGAAGCAAAGTATTTAAAATCAGTAAGAGTTCCTAAGGATACAGGGATGAAAAACTAAGGATATTTACTGGGTGTTATTTTAGAACTTTAATTAATATGCCTTTCTTTAACAAACATTTGGGGACACAAAACTTAAATTAAATTTGAGATTTCTATTAGGTATTTATTTTCACTAAACATTTTCTTTTGGAATTTAAATTAAGACTTATGTTTTCCAAAGCCTAAAATGCTGGCCAATTCCCCAATCTACTTTAATAAAATCTCTTTTCCTACACATTTTTTCCCTGGTAAGGTTAAAAAAAAAAAAATGAAGAAGTTAACATCAACTTTATTATTCCTGGCAAAGGGGTCTAGCAACTTAAGCTGGTTATTACAACATCCCAGTGTGAGATGGCAAAAGGAAGTGAGAAAAACATTTGGTCTGGATTCAAGTTCTAGCTCTCTTAGTTACAATAAATGTAACTTTGGATACAATCTCAGTTTTGTTTTTTGTAAAATGAGGAAAATGATACCTTCCTTAACTCCTTCCCTCCATCCCCAAAAATGCTGACAAAATGAGAGAACATAAATAATTAAGAGAGTTTGCTTAGGAAACCCTGGTGGCATAGTGGTTGAGAGCTATGGCTGCTAACCAAAAGATTGGCAGTTCAAATCCACCAGGAGCTCCTTGGAAACTCTATAAGGCAGTTCTACTCTGTCCTATAGGGTTGCTATGAATCAGAATCGACTCAGTGGCAATGGGTTTGGTTTTTCTTTTGGTTTGCCTACATCAAAGTCTAAGTCATATGTAAATTATTACTACCCTGGATATTTTCCTTCTTATGTTGTAGACACCTAGAGCTGGATCAGACTAATAAACAGAAATATGTATTCATTATCCTGAAAAATCCTGTGACGGTTAGGTAGGTTAGGGCAAATACAGAATAGAGAAGAAAGAGATAGAAGGAAAACATCATGGTAAAGGCTTCTGAGGTCTGTAAACAACTGAAAATACATTTCATTTTTAATTTTCTGACTTTGACCACACAGACATGTTTCTCCCATTTAACTCTATGGTAAATCCCAAGAGTAAAACAGCCCCAAAGACATATCAGAGTTTTGGAAAATCAGCTGAATACCAAGGAAGTTATAGATTACAATAGAATAAATGACAACTTAATTAAGCAGATTAAAATACAGTCAGTCCTGCTTTGCACAGTTCCAATATGCACAAATTTGTTACCGTGGTTTAGTTAATACCAGTCAACCAACAACATGGTTCAAATTTCAGTTACTATGTTTTATTAACTCTGAGTAATTGCATACAGTACAAACTTTGCTGCTAGTTTTTTGGTCCACAAATTGCTATGCAAATAATAGACGTGTATCATGATTAAGGACCAATCATGTCACTTCTTTCAAACTCTATTAATGATTGGTCACTGAGCATCTATTACTTAGTTCATGCAGAGACAGCAAAGCATGTAGTTGTATGCCTCCTTATCTCCAGTGATAAACCCATGTGACAATTTACAAAAATGGATATTTAAAAGAGGGAAATGGCCAACAAAGATGAAAAGTGCAGCAAAGGCGTGAACAGTGAAATTCAAATTGAATGTACATGGAGATATATAGGAATTTGCTGACAGGGAGAATGTTGATACTGTCACTGCTTGAAAGAGACTCTAGATATGCAGCCAGGGGAACTTAGTGAAGGTAAACTTACTGACACAAATGAGGAAAGCAATTATGATGAAAAGGATGAAGATGTCCTAGTGGAAATGACGCCAGCAAAAACCTTCACAATAAAGGAACTCTCAGGTATATTTTACAACATCGAAAGCACAAAGGATAAAATGTTGGAAGCTGATCCAAACTTAGAAAGGAGTATGACAAGTCACCAAGACATTAAAAAGATGCTCACTCCGTATCTTAAGTTAGATGACAAGAAGGCATCAAGCACTGTTCAAAATACCCTTGATAAGTTTTTACAAAGATATAAAACACTTTAATTCTCAGTACTTCTAATGTTTTAAATTACAATGGAGTTTCCAAAACAATTCAATAGGGAAAGAATAATCTTTTCAATAAATGGTGCTGGGGCCAATGGATATTGATATGCAAAAGAATGAAGTTGGACTTCTACTTCACACCATATATAAAAAATTAACTCAAAATGGATCAAAGACCTGAATGTAAGAGATAAAACTATAAAACACAAGTGTAAATCTTCATGACCTTGGATTAGGCAAGGTTTCTTAGATACGACATCAGCAACCAAACAAAAAATAGAAAAATTGGATTTCATTAAAGTTAAAAGCTTCTGTGTTTCAAAAGACACCATCAAAAAAACAAAAAGACAATCCACAGAATGGGAGAAAATATTTGCTAAGCATATATTTGATTAAGGGTCTAGTATCCAGAATATATAAAGATATAACTCAACAATAAAATAATAAATAATCCAATGTAAAGATATCCAAAGAATCTGAATAGACATTTCTTTGAAGAAGATATATATACGTGGCCAATATGCACACGAAAAGATGCTTTATCTCATTAGCTATTAAAAAAAACAAACGAACAAAAACCCACTGCTGCTGAGTCAATTCTGACTCAAACTGACACTATAGGACAGAGTAGAACTGCCACACAAGGTTTCCAAGACTGTAATCTTTACAGAAGCAGACTGCCACATCTTTCTCCCACAGAGCAGATGTTTGGTTAGCAGCCTAGTACGTAACCACTGTGCCACCAGGGCTCCTCCCATTAGCTATTAAGAAAACAGAAATCAAAACCATAATGAAATACCACTTCATTCCCTCTAGGTTGGTTGTAATTTTTTTTTAAAAATGAAAAATAAAAATAAAATAAAAATGAAAAATAACAAGTGGTAGTAAGAATATGGAGAAACTGGAACCCACGTACACTGCTAGTAAGAATGGAAAATGGTACAACCACTTTGGAAAATAGTTCGGTAGTTCTTCAAAATGTTAAACATAGTTACCACGTGACCCAGCAATTCCATTCTTAAGTCTATACCCAAATGAAATGAAAACACATAGCCACACAAAAACTTGTAAACAAATGTTCTTGAAAGCATCATTCATAATAGCCAAAAAGATAAATAAAATATGGTATATCTATACAATAGAATATTATTCAACCACAACGAGGAATGAAGTAGTGATGCATGCTACAACACAGACGTAACTTTGAAAACATTAAGTGAAAGAAGCCAGATACAAAAGGCCACATATTGTAGGATTCCATTTATATGAATGTCCAGTTTAGGCAAATGCATAGAGACAGAAATTAAATTAGAGATTGCAAGGGGCTCTGGGAAAGGGGAACAGGGAGTGACTACCAGTAGATGTGGGGCTTCTTTTTGTGGTGATGAAAATGTTCTGGAATTAGATACTGGTGATGGTTGTACAAGGAACCCTGGTAGTGCAGTAGTTAAAGCACTTGGCTGCTAACCAAAAGGTTGGTGATCTGAATCCACCAACCACCCTGTAGGAGAAAGATGAGGCAGTCTGCTCCCACAAAGATTACAGTCTTAGAAACCCAACGGGGCAGTTCTACTCTGCCGTATGGGGTCTCTATCAGTTGGAATCAACTTGATGGCAATGGGTTAATGGGGATGGTTGTACAACCTTGTGAATATACTAGAACCAGGGTAAATATTACAGCCTGTGAATCATATCTCGATTAAAAAAGGAAGAAAAAAATAAATTATCAAAAGAAAGAATCATCCTGGCTACCTGACAGGCAGATGAGGTATGAAATGAAAAACAAAAATTACAGTGTATTAATAAATATTAGTGTCCCATATTTTTCATTTCCCTGTACGTTTATAACTGATGGTAAGACAGTTTTTAATGTTGTGACAATTCAACTTTTTACAGGTGTATAACTTATTGACAGCAATTACAATAATCGGCTATGCTACCCTACCTTTAATCAATGTAATTTTTCCATCACTGTTAACCCCCCCTTTCCCCCTCCCTTCTGCCCCTGGTAACCATTAATAAACTTTGGTGACTGTACATGTGCCTTTTCTTGTCTTTTTATGTAAGTGAGGTCATACAATATTTATCCTTTTGTGATTGGCTTATTTCACTCACCATAATATCTCCAAGCTCCATCCATACAGCAGCATGTATCAAAATTTCATTTCTACTGGCTCAGTCATATTCCATTGTATGTATGTACCACATTTTGTTTATCCATTCATACGCTGATGGGCAGTTAGGTTGTTTCTACCTTTTGCCTACTGTGAATACTGCTGCAGTGAACATTGGTGTACAAGTCTCTTTTTGATTCTCTGCTTTCAAGTCTTTTGGGTATATATCTAAGAGTAGAATTGCTGGCTCATATGGTAGTTCTATTTTTAGTTTTTTAAGGAACTGCCACACTGTTTTCCACAACAGCTGTTACCATTTTGCATTCCCACCAGCAATGGATAAGGGTTCCAATTTCCCCACATCCTCACCTACATTTATTATTTTCTTTTTATCTTAGCCATCCTAGTGGGAGTGAAATGGTATCTCATTGTGGTTTTGATTTGCATCTCTCTGATGGCTAATGATGCTGAGCATCTTTTTCATGTGTTTGGCAGTCAGTTTGAATGTCCTCTTTGGTGAAATGTCTATTCAAGTCCTTTTCCCATTTTATGATTGGGTTATTCATCTTTTTGTTGTTAAGCTGTCAGTTTTATATATATTTTGGTCATTACATTCTTGTTGGATATATGGTTTCCAAAGACATTCTCCCAGTCAGTAGCTTGTCTTTGTACTTTTTCGGTGAAGTCTTTTGATGAACAGAAGTTTTTAATTTTTATGAGGTCCCATTTATTTAGTCTTTTGCTCTTTGTGTTTTTGTTATTATATTAGATAATCCATTGTTAAAAGCTAGGCCTGAGAGCGTTGCCCCTGCTTGTTCTTCCAAGAACTTTATGGTTTTAGTTTACACATTTAGGTCCTTAATCCATTTCGAATTTGTTTTTGTGTATGGTGTGAGGCATGGAATCCTGTTTCATTTTTCTGCATGTGGAAATCCAATTTTCCCAGTAATTTTATTGAAGAGACTCTTCTTTCCCCAGCAAATGGACTTAACACCCTTGTCAAAAATCAGCTGACCATAGATGTGTGGGTTTATTTCTGGACTTTCAATTCTATTCCATTGATCTATACGTCTATTGTTATACAAGTACCAGGCAGTTATGGTTACTATAGCTGTATAGTATATTTTAAAATCAGAAAATGTGAGTACTACTTTGTTCTTCTCTTTTAACACTGGCTTTAGCTATCTGGGGCCTCTTGCCATTCCATATAAAGTTGAGGATTGGTTTTTCTATTTCTGTAAAGAAGGCTGTTGGAATTCTGATCAGGATTGCATTGAATCTATAGATCGCTTTGCATAGTACTGACATCTTAACAATATTAAGTCTTCCAACCCATGAACATGGAACATCTTTCAATTTGTTTAAGTCTTCTTTAATACCTTTCAGCAGTGTTTTATAGTTTTCATTATATAACTCCTTCAGATTCCTGGTTAGATTTATTCCTAGGTATTTTATTCTCTTATACGGTATTGTAAATACAATTATTTCCCTAATTTCCTTTTCAGATTTCTCACTGCTGGGGTATAGAAACCCAAATGATTTTTGTTTGTTGACCATGTACCCTGGAACTTTGCTAAATTCCTCTATTAGCTCTAGAAGTTTTTTTGTGGACTTGCTGGGATTTTCTATATATGGGATTATATCATCTGCTAATAGAGGTAATTTTACTTCTTCTTTTCCAATCTGGATACCTTTTATTTCTTTTTCTTGTCTTGCTGCTCTGACTAGGACTTCTAATACATTACTGAATAGAAGTGATGAGAGCAGTCACCTTTATCTTGTTCCCGACTCTCAGTCTTTTTCCATTAAGTATCATGTTGGCTGTTGGTTTTTCATAATACCCTAAATCATATTGAGGAATTTCCCTTCTATTCCAATCTTTTTCAGGGTTTTCATCAAGAAAGAGTGTTGGATTTTATCAAATGCTTTTTCTGCATCCATAGAGATGACTATGTGGTTCTTTTCCTTTGTTCTATTGATGTGGTATATTATGTTGATTGATTTTCTAATATTGAACCATACCTGCATTCCTGGAATAAATACCACTTGGTCATAGTATATGACTTTTAATATGCTGTTAGATTCTGTTTGCTAGTCTTCGGTTGAGGATGTTCGCATTTATATTCATAAGAGATACTGGCCTGTAGTTTCCTTTTTTTTTTTCTTCCTGTGGTGTCTTTGTCTAGTTTGGGTGTCAGGGTTATGTTTGCTTCATAGAATGAATTAGGGAGTATTCCTTCCTTCTCTGTCTTTTTAAGAGTTTAAAGAGTATTGGTGTCAATTCTTCTCTAAATATTTGGTAGACCAGAAACCATCTGGGCCAGGACTTTTTGTTGTTGTTGTTGGGAGGTTTTTAATCACTGACTTGATCTCTTTACTTGTTATGGGTCTGTTGAGACTTTCTATTTTCTCCAGCTTTTACATATTGTTTGTTAAAAATCATGAAGGACAAAACATTTAGAATTATCAACATTAATACCTTATTCCTAGCCCTTCTACTTGTCCATGTATTTCCTTTATTAGGGATCTTTCTTTTTGTATATAGCTTTGAATTACTTTAGAAAGTGTCTTTTTCCTTCCATCTACAGAACCCTCATTAGTACTTTTTGTAGGGACAGTCTGGGGGACATGAACTCTCTCAGCTTCTGTTTGTCTGGGAATGTTTTAATTTCATCTTCATTCTTGAAGGACAGTTTTTCTGGGTATTCTTGGTTGACAGTTTTCTTTTCTTTCAGCACTTTAAATAAATATATCATTGCTTTATCTTTTGGCCTCCAGTGTTTCTGAGGAGAAGCTGGTACTTAAATTTATTGGGGAGCCTTTGTATGTGACTGTTTGCTTCTCTCTCACTGCTTTTAGGATTCTCTCTTTATCTCTCTAATTTTTGAGAGCCCAATTATGATGTGTCTTGGTGTAGATCTCTTTGGTTATCCTGCTTGGTGTTCTTCAATCTTCTTGGATTTATAGATTCATGTCCTTCACTAGACTGGGGAAAACTTCTGTCATTATTTCTCCAAATATTCTTTGTCCCATTTTCTCTCTCATCTCCTTCTGGAATTCCTGTGATGCATATATTAGATCTCTTGTCATTGTCCCATAATTCCATTAAATTGTGCTTGAGCCTCTGTTCTTGTTGCTCTTCAGCATTTGTAATTTTAACTATCTTATCCTCTAATTTGCTGATTCTTTCTTTGCCTGATTAAATCTATTGGTAGTCCCTCTACTGTGTTTCTCGTTTCAGTTACTATCCCTTTCAGTTGTAGTATCTCTTTTCTCAGATCCTCATTTTGTTGGTGCACAGTTTTCCTAATTTCTTTTAGTTCTTTGTGTATGTTTTCCCTTAGTTCTTTAATTATATTTAATGTTACTGTATTATATTTTCCTTTTTTTTTTCCTTATTTGGTCATCCCTAGATGTGCTTTCATTTGCTTTGTCATATTCATTTCGATGGAACACTGTTTCTCTGTTCTTTGTGTGCCTTGTGATTTTTTGTTGGGGCATTGGAATTTTTGAGGGTGTTAACTTTCTTAGTTCTTTCTTCCCAGTTTTTGGTGGTTTTACCTGTACTACTTTCTGCAAAAAACTCTTAGGCAGGCAGCACCTCAGCTTTTGCTTACCATTTTCTGTCCTTCTCTGTGATAGCTCCTTTTCCCTCCCTGGTTTAATTAGGATTCAAAAGTTTCGGATCTCAGTTTTCAACTTTCAGTCTCTCCCAAACACACCAGAAAACACGCTGTGATCAATCCATCCACCAACTAGCACTGCCACTCAGTGGAGATATTGTGTACTAATCAATATGTCCACCAGGGGGTGAAGTCCTCTCTCTGGTTATTACTCCCTTCCCTTCTGTTTCTGCGACCACGTTTTCAGTAAGAGAATCAACACCCGGCGAGCCCTCTTCTGGGTTGGGTGTTGCCCTCTGGTTTTTTCCGAGGTTTCCTTCCCTGCTCTGTGGGGGCTTGCTTCTATCTGAGCTGGCTTCTAGGGGAAGCACAAGCAGACTTTCCTCTGTTTCAGGAGGAAGAGGGGCTGGCAGTCTCCAGAGGAACCTCCAAGAGGTCTGTCTTGTTGGTTTCAGAGCCCCAGTGGTCCTGTGGAGGTTGGCGGGTGGGCAGTCTCCTCTTAGGTGAACCTCCTCCTGGTTCTACTGTTGGGGACCTTCTGTAGGAGTTCATATCAGTCTAGTGGCTGACAGTTATTGGGTAGGCGAGGGATTGTTGTGCTCTGAATGGACCCTCAGGGAGGTCTGCCTTGTTGCTATCAGAGCCTGCCCTGTAGTATGTTGACCATGAGTGTAGACCCCACTCAAGATGCCTGCTTCCCAGCACACAGCAGCCTTAGTTCTCAACATCTCTCAGAAGGAGAAGCAGACAGACCTAAGCTGACCCCCAGGGAGGTCTGTCCTGTTGGTTTCAGAGGCCTGAGCTATGGGGTACACAAGGAGGCAGGCAGAGTGCTGTATATGGGAGCTGACTCCACTGCAGTGGCCTTCTGTAGCAGTCTGCAACACCCAGGCAACGAACAGTTAATCAGGTAGGGGAGGGGTTGTCATGCTCTGGTTAGATTTCCACGGAGGTCTGCCTTGTTGCTATCAGTACCCCCTGGTAGACTGTTGGGTATGAAAGCAGCCTCCACTCAAGATGCCTGCTTCCTAGTACACAGTAGCCTCAGACAGCAGTCCTCAGTGCCAATAGCAAGTGGATGTAGACTAACATAAACTGACCTTCAGGGAGGGAGGCTTCTGTAGCAATTCACTGCAGGCTTGCAGGTGACAGGGTCTGAGTGGGGGAAGGGTTACCACACTCTGAACGGACCCTCAGGGAGGTCTGTCTTGTTGCTATAAGAGCCCCTCCCCCATGGTATGTTGACTGTGGATGTAGCCTCCAGTCAAGATGTCTGCTTCCTAGCACACAGAAACCTCAGTCAGCATTCCTCAGTGCTGACTGGAAGGAGGAGCAGGCAAACCCAAACTGACTCCCTGGGAGGTCTATCCTGTTGGTTTCAAAGGCATGAGCTATGGGGTGCACAGGGAGGCAGGTAGAGTGTTTATGAGAACAGACTCCACTGCAGGGGGCCTTCTGTAGCAATTCACAGTAGGCTTGTAGCCAACAGTGTCCGGATGGGGGAGGTGCTGGCACACTCAAAATGGACCCCCAGGAAGGTCTGCCTTGTTGATTTTAGAGTAGAAGCTTCCGGTCCTGTCTCTTTGTACAGGCAGGGAGTGTGGTGGTTAGGGAAACAGGCTTTTTTTCGGTACCACTTCTCCAGTTCACAGCAGCCAGCAGCCCACGTGGCTTAGGAGAGGGATACGGACAGTGGGAGAAGCAGGTTTTCCTACTGTATGCAACTTGTTGATTCGTTGATTCTTGCCTGTCTGCAGTGTCCCACTGCTCTCCTTTGCTTCCCAATTCAGAGTCCCTCAAAGCCAAGTGCTGTTTCCTTGTATTTCTTGTTGTATTTGTAGGGAAGGGTTGGAACAATGGTCTGTTTATGCCACTGTCTTCCCAGAACTGAGTTTTTAATGTTCTGATCAAAAATTTTTTAAGGGTTACAGAACAACCATAATTTTTTCCATTGATTATTAAGATAGCTTCATATGGTATCAGCTTGCACAGTCAATTTTACAATCCCAAAGTACCATGCAAACCGTGGACTACCTATACAGTGTCAGGAAATTTCATCTGAAGCATCTCTTGAGGAAGTGTAAAGATAATTTAGGATAATGATAACATACAATTTAAGGATAATATGATTACCTACCTGTAATTCCTCTGCTGTGGAAACATCGAGTCCTGTTAGATCTTGTATTCTCATATTAATTCGAGACACCACAGGATTTTCATAGCCAGACAGCCAGGCACTAAGACCAAGAAGAAAACATCAGTTTTACTGATAATATTTCAATATATGAAGACCAATAGTTGTAATTTTTAAAACCCTAATACGTAGGGCAATAAGCCTTTAACTAAGGCATGCAGTTAATTCACTTGTTTAAAGTGACTTTTACTAATGATTATTGTAAATTTTTAAAAGATATCATATTCTGCAGTTAACAGAAAAAAAACACAACTATAACCTCATTTATTATACAGTTTCTATGAAAATAAAAAACCCATTGCTAGTCGAGTCGATTCCAACTAATAGCAACCCTATAGGACAGAGTAGAACTGCCCCATGGGGTTTCCAAGGAGCGGCTGCCGACCCTCTGGTTAGCAGCCGAACTCTTAACCACTGCGCCACCAGGGCTCCTCTATGAAAATATAGTTGGGTTAATATAAGGAAGGTATTTATGACCATCAACACTAACAGTTTTAAAAAACTGTACAAAGATATATACCAAACTGGAAAAAAGGAAAAAAAAAAAAACTGTTCTATGTAGAGTATAGGAACAGAATGGGGTCTTTAGCCAGATCTAGATAATGCTAACACTTTTATAAGAAAAAACTGAGGCATAAAAGTAAGTTTTAAAAATGTACCCCAAAATACCCACTAGGATTGCTATAATCAAAAAGATGGACAAAAACAAATGTTGGTGAGAACGTGAAGAAATTGGAACCCTCATACATTGCTGATGGGAATGTAAAATGGTGCAGTTGCTTTAGAAAATAGTTTAGCATTTCCTCAAAAAGTTAAACTTAGAGTTACCATATGACCCAGCAATTCCACTCATAGGTATATACCCAAGAAATTTTGATAAATAAAATGCGATATATGCATACAACAGAATATTATTCAGTTATAAAAAGGAATGAAGTACTGATACACACTACAACATGGGTGAATCTTGAAAATATCATGCTAAGTGAAAGAAGCCAGATATAAAAGACCATATATTGTATGGTCCTATTTATACGAAATGTCTGTAATAGGCAAATCCACAGTGAGAAAAAATAGGTTAGTGGTTCCTAGGGGATGGGGCTGAGGGGAATGGGGAGCAACTGCTAATAGTTATGAGGTTTCTTTTTTGGGTTGATGAAAATGTTCTAGAATTAGATAATTAATGGTGGCAGTTGCACAACTGAAAACACTAAAAACCACTGAACTGTACACTTTAAGGAGCCCTGGTGGTGTAGTGGTTAACAGTTTAGTGGCTGCTAACCAAAAGGTTGGCAGTTCGAATCCACCAGCTGCTCCTTGGAAGCCCTGTAGGGCAGTTCTACTCTGTCTTATAGGGTCGCTATGAGTCAGGATCAACTCAGTCGCAACGGGTTTGGATTTTGGTTTGGCACCCTTTAAAAAGGTGAATTTTATGGTATGGGAATTATATCTCAATAAAAAAAGTAATCAAAAATTCAACTTTATCCCCTTTACATATGCTTTTTTCCAGTCTATCAGTCCTTTTCTTTCTTCATTTTTCCTCTCATCATGCTTTGATTCCATGATCCATGATTTCAACAACATTCTGGCTAAAAGTCTAAATTCATCTGTCTTTTCTCTAAGCTTATACCTGTGTCATCAAACCTTGCTGGAGGGAGTCACAAACACCAACTTCAAATAGGTTCTCACTCCTTCCTCCACTTTCCATAAGCCTCTGAGTGCCAACTCATACGAGCCTCCCCCTCACAGAGAAAACAGAAACCATATAATCTACCTATACTTGTATCTCTCTGCTCCTTCTAGTTCCTTCATTCTAGTTCCAATGGATGAAAATTTTTTGCATTATCTAAGGCTAATTCTCTGCCTTAGATTCTATTATCTCCTACTATTTCAGGAACTATAAATCATAGATTATCTCTTTTCCCTCTTATATAATCAACTTCTCCCTCTAAAGAATTTTTCCCACTACTTTTAACTGGGCTTCAGTCTCTCTGGGAATCCCTGGGTGGTGCAAAAGATTAACACACTTGGCTGCGAAATGAAAGTTGGAGGTTCTAGTCCATCCACAGGCACCTGGGAAGAAAGGTCTGGCAATCTACTTACAAAAAATCAGCCACTGAAAACCCTGTGGAGTACAGTTCTACTCTGATACATGTGGGGTCCCTGTGAGTCAGAGTCCAATCGTGGGCAACTAACTGTTTGTTTGCCTCTCCCATTAAAAACTAAATAAATAAAAATTAAAAATTCTACTCCTCAACTCCCCGTCTCACTCCAGCTACCAACTTCTTTCTCCTTCCCTCTCAAGCCAACCTTTTCACAGACTCCTCACTTCTCAACTCATTCCAATCTAGGTTTAGTCTCTTATCAATCCATCAAAATTATTCTTGCTACTGTCACCCATAACCCTACTGTGCTCCTAAATCTAATGACATTTTCCAATTCTCATTGTTAATCCCACATGGCCAGGTGTCACCACCACAGCGACATGCGCTGGCCTCTAGAACAACCTGTCAGAAACAAAATGTTGTTGGTTGAGCACTCAATGCAATCTTTGGATAACTTTCACTCTCCACTTCCTGCCAATCTACAAAGTAACCATCAACAAGCTCCAGAATATCTCCCTTTGTAGAATGTTTAAATACTAGTTTCTGTGTCTCTACAGAAACCCTGGTGGCATAGTGGTTAAGATCTACAGCTGCTAGCCAAAAGGTCAGCAGTTCAAAGCTACAAGGCGCCCTCTGGAAACTCTATGAAGCAGTTCTACTCCGTCCTATAGGGTTGCTATGAGTCGGAATCAACTCGACGGCAATGGGTTTTTTGGTTTTTGGTGTCTCTACACTCCCTGAAGAATACATATACACATTCATTCCAACATCTCTAATTTCCTGACTGCTGGAACTAAATCTTTAAAGAAATCTGCTTTCATGTCCCACCTGTGAATGTTGCCCTCCACATGTGACCCTGCAGCTGTTTTGGCACCGTGGTCTTTCTGTCCAGAGACATCTACCTGGATCATCTCTTACAGGTCATCTGCCCCATCCCCAGATGCTGTAGGGATCAGAAAAGCCCCATCCAGGTGGGAATCTTCTTCAGCCTATTTCCTCAAAAGATTGCGGTCTTACTGATACTCCTCCTTCTCCCCAATGTGTCTTCTGATATTCTTTAACATTTTGTTTAGTATAAGGAAATAAAATTCCTTCATGAAAACAATCAGGTCTTATAGTATCTTCAATACCTAAAAGGATCATAGTGACTTTGGTGGCCACTGAAAACACAACCATTTCCCTGCTACACGCTATTACGGGAATCAGCTAGTGGTAGTGAGGGCAGAGGGATGCAGTGGCCGTGGCCCAAAACCATCCTGAGCTTCCAACATACGTGCAAGAATCTTGTAACCAGCAATCACATGCAGCCTGAAATGCATCAGAGAGAGGCCACCTCTGCACTCCTGGACGTGGAGAAGGCAGCTGCCTCTAACATTCTTTTATAACAGTATGTATTCTTCCTCTGTAGCATTAATCATAGTAATAATTTTACATTAATTTATGTTATTTGATTAAGGTATGTCATCTTCACTTGACTACTAGTTCCAAACACGTATCAATTTTGTCGGTTGTTGCTCACCAATATATCCACAGAACCTATTACAGTACCTGGCACAGAGCAGATGCTCAATAAATGTTTGCTGAATAAATGAATGAATCCTGAAGATTGTTAGAACTCATCTAAGATTTATCCTATTTTATTGTAATTATTTGCCTGATGATCTCCTGCAAATTATATGGGCTGGCTGAGTAGAATTCCTCAGTGTAACAGAAATGGGAAGAATCAAAGAATTTTATTGTTGTAAAGGATCTAGTTGATACAGTAAGAACTTACTTCTTCCAATTCTGACTGAGCTCCTGGTAGAACTAATCTGGTATGTCAATGTAACTTTTCTGCTGGCAAAAATTCAATGGAATTTTGAACTTTACAAGCCACCAACTAGTGTCTTGACTTTTATAGGTAACTGCCTGGTGGCACAAGTGGCTGCTAACCTAAAAGTTGGTGGTTTGAACCCCCAGTGGCTCTGTGGAAGAAAAGGCCTAATGAACTACTTCCAAAAAGACTCCAAACGATTGATGTTGGGTCAATTCCGACTCAGAGCGACCCTACAGGAAAGGGTAGAACTGCCCCATAGGAGTTTCTAAAGCTGTAATCTTTACGGAAGCAGGCTGCCACATCTTTCTGCTATGGAGCAGCTGGTGGGTTAGATTCGCAGCCGAGTGCTTAACCACTTTGCCACTAGGGCTCCTCCATAAAGATTACAGCCAAGAAAACCCTATGAAGCAGTTCTACTCTGCAATACACGGGGTCACCACGAGTCGGAATTAACTCGACAGCAGCTAACATCAACAAGCAATGCAAGACTGGCAAGCGTTCCAATAAAGCTTCAAACTAAATACATTTTAAAGAAGATAACTGTTCCTATTTCATCCTGGAAGCTCCAACCACAAAGAACTTTGTCTTCTACTTCTAATACCTTCAACTTCCCTCCCTACTACCACCAAATTTTAAGTATCTATTCCTATGTTTTTGTCTTGTACTTTAGTGGAAGCACTGTCGTTCAGCCCTACAGAAGCTGGTTTTTCTATCTATGCTTTTGAATCCACTCTAACTCCACAAGCCTTACTCCAACAGTTACTGCTTCTTATTTTAAATCTCCTTCCTGCCAATGCTTGCTTACTCTTCAATCTGAATCTCCTGCCAACCAAGAAAAACACCTTCACTTTTGCTATTCTAGCAATTTACCACTCCAATTATAGCAAATTACCACTCCAATCTTTCATTTACTCCTTTGAAATTACAAAAGCAAAAAATCTTTGTTTTACCCTGGGAGTATGGCCCCCAGACACCCTTTAAACTCAGTAATAAAGTCATTCCTGAGGTTCACTCTTCAGCCAAAGATTAGACAGGCCCATAAAACAAAACGAGACTAAATGGTCACACCAGCTAAGGGGCAAGGATGAGACGGCAGGAGAGGACAGGAAAGCCAGTAACGGGGAACCCAAGGTTGAAAGGGGAGAGTGTCAACATGTCGTGGAACTGGCAACCAATGTCACAAAACAATATATTTATTAATTGTTTAATCAGAAACTAATTTGCTCTGTAAACCTTCATCTAAGGTACGATTAAAAAAAAAAAAGGAACCCACCCAACCACCAATCTCCTACCTCCATTTACACTTTCCCTCCTGATAATATTGCTGGCATCTTTCCAATCCATCTAATTGCACCTCTTTACTTTTTGAACCACTACTTTTCTTTAAAAAAAAAAAAAAATATATCGTCACTTCCAGGAATGACTGTGAAGGTCTATCAACACAGTACTCCTTAAGAAGGTTATTTCTCATTTCTCCATATTACAAACAATAGGTAACAAAAACTTCTGTACCTAGATGTGAACTTGATAGCTGACTTTTACATTTTGATAAACGATGTCAAACCACCCTGTAAAAAAGTTGCTGTGATTTATATTCCTACCAATTGTTTATGAGAGTACGCATTTGATAAAATCCTTGCCAGTATCAATCTTTTTGATCTTTGCCAAACTTAGAGGCAAAATTATCTCGTTTTAATTTTTACTTCTTGTTATATCATAAAACATCTCAACGGAAGGTTTGGGGCTTAGCACATAAATCCAGTGATGATTGCAGATTAAAAACAAAAACAAAAAAAACCCTGTTATCTTAGTTGTGGTTCTGTTATAGGCACTACAGGGTAAAATTAATTGTACTGATGCTGGGAAGTTATTCCACTTTGACTTTTATGTGAAAACTTCTCCAAAATGTAGTAAGATTCTCCTAGCAGAATTCCATTTGTTTAAAACATTTTAGTCATCTGGCTCCTATCCTTAACAACCATTACTGCTAATCTGTCTTCAATAACATTATTGTAAACCTATCAGGTATTTTAAGAATTCAGTCCTGAATTTACTTTGCTGTAGCATTGCTGGAGACAAAGTAATACATGCTAACTGCCCACTCTTTTAAGACCTGGAAGTCTTATCCCTGCTTTAAATGATCAGAAATCAAGATTTCTCTAGTTTACTCTTCTTCATTGCTTTAACTGAATTAGATTTTAAAGTTACAGCATTTACTTTAACAGGCAAAATGATTTGAAGAACATTTTATCTTTTGTACAACTATAATTGAAAATACCAACTAAGTTATACAATGTTTTTCCTATAAAACACAATTTTTAGTTCCAGAAGAAAAAAGAATTCTTTCTCCAGCTAAGTTTATATGTGTCCCATTTTTCCATTAATAACTAGATAGCCCAAAATATGTTCCTTTTGGTCTTAATGACAGAAACCTGAGAGCCAGGTTGTGCATTCAATTACAATAATTAATGCTTCAGCATTTTTCCTCTTTCTAATAGGTTTCTGATTTATTTTTAAATCTTTATTATTCTTTTTTTTTTTTTTGCCATTCCCATTATCCCTTTATTAATTTGTTTTCATTGTGGTAAAAATATATATAACAAAACATTTGCCAATTCAACAATTTTTACATGTACAGTTCAGTGACACTGATTACCTTCATCATAGTGTGCAACCAAATTATTCCACCACCATTAACAGAAACTCAGTGACCCCTAAGCAATGACTCCCCCCTTTCCTCGTACCTCTCAACCCTGATAACCACCCATAAGCTTTAGTCTCTATATATTTGCCTATTTCATATAAGTGGGATCATACAATATTTGTCCTTATGTGTCTAACTTATTTCACTCAGCAAAATGTATTCAAGGTTCATCCGTGTTATAGCATGTGTCAGTACTTTATTTCTCTTTATGGTTGGGTAATATTCCACTCTAAGTATATACTACATTTTGTTTATCCAATTTAGGTTGTTTCCACCTTTTGGCAACTGTGAGTAGTGCTGCAATGAACACTGGCACACATATTTCTGTTTGTGTTCCACCTTCCAATTCTTTTGGGTATAAATCCATGGGACCTGGGATTGGGATTACTGGTATTATTCTTTTAACATATGATACTTAAAAAAATATCACTAGAATGCTTTATTTGAATAAAGAACAACATTCTCACACTGCATGATTATATTTCTAATACATTAGTAATAAAGGCATGCTCAAGTAAACAGACATAGATTGCCATTTTGGATGTTATGGACATTGTTAAAAAAACCTTCAAAGGTAAATGTCAATGATATAATTTGAACACTATCACTACCTTCTTCTAACCCAATGTACAAGTGATAATTAACATTTTACAATTAGCTAATATAAAACCATCATATGTATTTGTTTACATTTATCATTTAAATATTATTTTTTTTTAAGGCAAAAGATAATTCAGGGTCTAAAATGTCAGTTATAGGGCAAAACTCCAATAATTCTTTTCTTAATGCTTGACAGCTAATAAAGAAAGGCTAATTATATAGACTGAGAATTTATCCAGTCCCTTTTCTTGTTGGTGGGACATTTATGCAATAATACCATAGATCTGTCCATTCCAGTTACCTGAGTCTGAGAACCACTGTTCAACCCATAAAAGGGCAGTATTGTTAAAAGTTACGCCAATTTTTTTTAAAAAATCTGAAATCATTCAAAACTATTTATATATTCTTAGATATTAAAAGAAAGTTATTATTCTTTTACATTATTTTTGCTCCTTATTAACATGGATAAATTAAATCTTAAGCAGAATAAAATATCATATTGTAGGAAATTAGTACTTCAGAGAAAAAAATGAAAAACACTTCAAAAACACCCCACCAGAATCAAAGACACTTTTTCTACCATTCTAAACAGATTATTATTTATCTACATACATCATTATTTATCTTACTTTAACTTGACTTTATGAGCTCACGTAACTAAACCACCTTTTCAAAGATCATAACTGTTTACCTTTCAAAAATTAAAATTCTATCTCTGTGATCTAGACAAAATTAACAGTTTCTCCATTAACAAGCTGTAGTAAATGTTCAAGGTTTTTTTTTGTTTTAATGTTGGAAAAGACAGAGATCACTTGCCAAAAGTCCACAGATGTTCAATAACATGAAGATGTTTTTGTCTTAGGGTTTTTAAACAAAAAAGATTTCCACACATATTTTGTTCAAAGAAAATTCTATTTGCTGGAATGCTGGAACAAGCAATTTTTTACTTCACCAGAAGATAATGCAATCACTTAGACATTCTCAAAATACAGATGTTTGAAATTCCCTCTGACCCTTTCAAAATACAGATGTTCCCAGAGCAAAAGGGATTAAATTATTACATTAGAACACATAAATTATTTTCTTCTATTTATGTCTTTGTCAGAGCTGTATTTTATAAAGGAAACATAAAATGTTCATTTTTTCACTTGTAAGAGTCTTCAAAATCAAGATTTACAGTGACTGGTAGAAAATGTCTTGACATAGCTATTAAATTCTTAAATAGTAACTATTTTACTTATCAAAATATGAAATATAAGGGATACTCTATGCAGCAAATTTCTTCTTTAACAATTAATATCTCTCTTTCAATATATAACTTATTTTTAACATTGCTGCTGGAAATTTTTCCTTAAAAAAAAAAAAAAGATTAAACTCACTGTGCTTTGGAATTCCATGCTTACCTGATTGTTTTAAATATACACGCACACATACACACACACACACACGCCCTACATAGTTTACCAAGACTGGATGAATTTATTCTGGTGTTACTCAGAATCTTTTAATATTTCTAATGCTACTGTCTACATGCCTTTTGCTGCCACATACAATATATAACAAAGTAGGATTGTACCTTTCTCAACCAATAAAGTTCTTTCTCAGAAGTGTAAATCTAGTATATTTTTAAAAATAAGCTTAGAATATTTAGTTTTTAAGAAAAAATGCTTATAGGTCACCTTTCCAATGGTAATTTATTATGACTTATTGGCAAGAGTCCAATGGCTGTGGGCTGGATATTTCTTTAAAAAGGTCCATTGTATATGTAGAAAATTTACCAAAAAACTTCTCCAAAATACTAAGTTCCTGACATTTGTTTTATATGCTTCCTAAAAACATCCAAATCTGGATAATTTAGATACTCACAATCATTATGACAGTAAAAATGCTTAAAACTATATAATAAACCCCAATAAAATATGTAACACTTAAGTTTAAAAAAAAAAAGTTAGAGGTTCATTTTTTTCAGACATGAATGAGGTTCTATAATAGAATAGAAAATTAGCTTAAGCTTAACTTAAAATTAGAGTTAAGTCTTAGCTCAGAAACACTGTAAATTATGTCTCAAAACATGTCTATCCTGCTGTACTACAGAGGTCAAGTTAGGCCTTGTTCTAGGCAGGGTCTTTGGGAACTTCTGACTCTTACTTTGATATGAGAACACAGCTTCACTTATCAGTTAGAGTTTGGGGAGCCTCAGCAGGCATTTTGTAATCTAGTAAATTACTTTGGAAAATCAATATTAACTGCCTCATAACCATGTCTGTTTATTAGTCCATCACAAAAATTCAGGCACAGATGTCATCAAATACCTACAACTAACAGCCTGGGTCTTAGAAATCAAATCATGGGTTTTGAGAAAATTAGATTCTCAAGAAAGGACATGGAAGGACATGGCCCAAATATGACTAAAATTCTCTCCATTACTCCCTTACCTCTTAGATACTCTGTATTGGGCTGTGGTCAATTTTCCAGTCTCGGGGTCATGTACTGTAGCTCGGCTTAGCTACAAAAAAAAGAGAAAGGACAAGGACTTACTCCAGTAGCAGGCAATTTTGTTTTTTTTGTTCATTTTGTTTTGTTTTGCCAAGCCACAGGTAATTGGAAGGGTTCAGATTGTTCTGGGTGGTAGCTAATGGTTTCAAATCAGCAAAAACATTTAGAAAGTTGGCAATAAGAAAAGCCACTTCCATATCAAGAGAAAACGGGTTCACAGATTTTTGTTGTGAATTGTCCTTTCACTTTTTTTAGAAAATCATGTAAATGTTCTATAGCACTGGGTTTCACAGGAGCTTTCTCAGAATCTAGAAGTTTAATGTTCTTTAAATACCTTGAAAAAAGAATAATTAGTAGTCTCCTTAAATTCATTTTTAAAAAATTCACTGAGATAAATTGTTTTCAAGTCTCTCTCGTGAAATAAACAGCAATCAAATTCATAAGCAATAGCATTTGGAATACTGAGCTAGAAGCATAACTCTAGCCTTTCCATTGCCAAGTTTTGAATCAGCAGAGTTTTTTTTTTTTTAAATAAAAAAATTTCAGCAGGAGAAATACAGATTACTCCATAATGACAATGGTATTTTACAAGACCTACGAACAAATGCCAATACAATCACTATGAAAGATGATGCGAAATCACTGCAGCATTTATAAACTAGATAAAACTGCATAAACAAACACTACTCCCAGATTAACCCAGGCTGCTTCCTTTCCTTTTTCTCCCCCTTCGGCAAGAAGAAGGAAAAAGAAAACAAGTATCAGGCCATTTCCTGAATAACTGATAACTGATCTAAAGAAAGATTCAAAGAAGCATATTAATTCCCTAAAACTAATAGGCCAATTAAAGATTAAAAACAGAACTTCTAGTTAAAGGAAAAGACCTGTGAAACACAGTTTATACAAGCGTATATAAACAGGGCGGTGACTTGGGGGGGAGACTGAAAATGACCTAATTCCCTTAAATGAATAACAATTCCTGTGGATGTACAAAACACTCATTAGAGGGCAAAATATGCAACATACACATCTCTTACCTTTTGCTAATTCTGTAATGTACCGTCTCCAAGTCTCCTGTTATTGGGTTTGAAATGGTGGCTCGCCTCAGCTGTGAAGCCAACCATCAAAATAGTTGCATTACAAAACAAAAAAGGAACCACATTTATCCAACCAGTCAGAATTTGGAGGTTTTTACAAAGAAGGCTGGAAAGAGAAAATAACTCCATACACTTCCAGTCACCTTGTGCTGAGCCTTGAAAGCCAGATGGCTCTTTAGGTTTTTGTATTTAGAAAAAAAAAAATTATTTTGTTTTTGTTTTGAAGAGATGGAAGGTACACAAACAAAAGAGAATGGAAATTAATGTTTTTCCTCAAGTGATAGAGAGTGTGATAATTAGTGAGGAAAAGAGAAATTTTTAAAATTAGAAGTCTAATGTATAGTTACAAGAATGGCTCTTGTAATGACCCATTCCAAAACCTTTGACTTTAATTTTCTTAGTGAAGAAACTGTTTGTAAGATTAAATGTACAAAATTCATCTTAAGGTCACTCTTTTCTTCCTTCGCGATATTCATTCAGTAGCATACACAGTGAAATAATCTTGGACGGAGCACAGATAGGTGAAAAAAACTCATAGGTTTTAAAAACAATAAAGAGATGCCAGCCAAGATAATGGTTTCAAACTGTTTTTTAAATGGAAAGATGATTCTAAGATTAACAAAAGGATACTGACTTTTAATTGTGGTTGAATTTCTTGATCAAAAACGATCCAAACTGAGGCATCCCCTTTGAAGACAGAGGCCTCCAAGCCTAGATATGACTTGATTTCCAAGCTGAAATGAATTCTTAATGAATATTCTACCAAGATATTTTGGTTTACTGGGTTTATTGATCACAAATAATGGACTAAAATAGAATCCAAAAGAGAGTGGCAGAATATGATGTAATTATAAATAGCATTCTGCTTGGCAGATGATTTATAAGAATTCCCTACAACAGCATGCATACATATTATGCCAGGCCTTTCTATTTATAATACAGTCTTTGTTTGGTTTAAAAAAAAATTTGGAAAAGCAGTAAAATTTAACAACAACAAAAATCTGACTTTATTTTGCAGTATAGGTATTCAGATAATACAATCTTTATATTACAACAAGAGTCAGCCAACTACAGCCCACTGGCCAAATTCCGCCCTTCTTCTGTTACAGCCACACTCGTTTATTTATATACTGTCTATTGTTGCTTTTGCACTACAACTGCAGACATGAGTAGTTGTGACAGAGACTGTATGGCCTGCAAAGTCTAAAAAATATTTACTATTTGGACCTTTGCAGAAAAAGTTTGCCAACTCTTGTGTAATAAAAAAGCAAAAATACACCTCATGTTTATTTAACAATCTCCTTATGAAAATGACAGCAGTTTGTATTTTACTATCAGTAAGACCGAATATGTTTTAAGAACAAGCTGATGGGAAAAAGGCAAGCGCGTAAAGGGGACTCTTTTACCCATTTTCACAAAAGAGGAATGTTCATGCTAAACACTAAGTTTATACAATTATGCTTACATTAATTTTTTTTATTAAGATAAATGACATGGGTTGAAGTCAGAAAACTATGAAGTCAACATTTAAAATTATCATGATGCTTATGCCCAATTGCATTTTTCTAGTAACAGTGTACCTAAAAGGGAATAAAAATATTTCAAATGTTCTTTCAGATAAAAATACAGAAGGTATAAAAAAGTTGGACTTTGATTAGTCTCTGAGATTATAAGACTTCAAAATATATAGAAAAGTTTTCAGGAAAATGCTGAAGCCCCAACTTAAGTGTAAATATAAATTTTACCTCTGGTTTTCATAATTAAGTGCTTAAAACCCAGTTGTAGGGTATGTTACTCACTGTGTGTTGGTAACAAACTAAGAAAAGCTGGTATAAATAGAGCTTTGTTACCAACTCCACTATGCTGAGGTAATCATTTCTAAAACTATCTGTGGAGTTACTGACATATCAATGATCATTTCTGTAATCTTGAAAGGAAAAAAAAAGAAAAACCCATTATATAAGTTAAATAAAGTGAGGAGAAAAAGAAAAAACTTATTTACCCTTGGTTTTGCTAGATCTTTGACAACTTCAATTTCTGCATCAGAAATAATATCATGGAAGCGAACAATACGAGGTTTGTCCCACTCATCCTCCTGCTTGGCTGGGGCGAGAATAAATTTAGGATTCCGGTTTCCATCATGGTAGCGGCAAAAGAGTTTTTTCTGTCTCCGAGGAGTCTAAACACAAAGTTAAGAAAAATGATTTTGTTAAGAGTAGTATTTTTAATATGTGTTCCTATGCACATAAGAAACAATAATCAAGCTTGCATATGCACAGAGTATCTCTGGCAGGATACACAGAAGATACTGTGCGCTGCAAATATTTTGCATCAAACAGGGTCTTCAGGATTTTTAAAGTTTTATTAAGAATTAATTTCTGGAGGAGAGACAGACGATGTTAAATAAAGAAAAAAAGTAGGTTTCTTTTTTTACCCCTTCTCTCATCAAAGTAAAGTTCAGGTGTTATAAAAACGAAAAAAAAAAAAAAGAACAATTATGGAATTATGAAATGAATGCCCAGCATTGCTCCCAACTTCACAAAGTAACTGAGAAGTACCAGAAAGACAAAGTTTCTAGAAGAAAAAAAACAAAAACAAAATCTAACTATGTTTTCCTAAATACCTCCCAGCTAATGCTTGTGGCAAAAAAAAGGTGTGTGGGGGGGGGATTTTTTTTAAGAGCAAAGATCAAAATGGGTAGCTCTAAAAAAAAAGGACAAAGTTATTAAACAAAGAAGCCAGGTCCTTTTATCAGAAGGTACAAAAATAGAGCAGTTTACAACAACAACAAAACAAAATGTTTTTTTCAATCATGTATGTATTAACTACATAAGTTACTTCACTGCTGGTTGTTCTCTTAATTAAACAAGTATGCCATCTATGAACTATGAATAATATTAGTTTTTGTTTTAGTTATTAGGTAACATACTAAAACAAATGATTCTCCATGTACTTTATTTACCTAGAGTCAAATCCACGGCTTTATATCAAAAAAGTATCTTATATGATGATGAAATGAATTTATTCTGAGGAAAAAAAAATGCTCCTTTGATCTTGTGCATAACTGATATGCATGCGTCACATCAATAAACTGGCAAATTAGGAGACTTCTGTACCTGTCGTTCTATTTAACTAACAGTTATTCTCTTCTTTAAGAGTTATTAAGAGCAGTAAAAAAAAACCTGCTTACTACTGGAAATCTGACGACTAACTAGATACTATGGAACCATTGTAATTTTTTTTTTTAGGTGTAATAATGGTATTCTGGTTATTTTTTAAGAGTCCTTATCTTTAGAAGATACATACTGAAATATTTACAGATGAAATTTTAAAAATGTTGGAGTCTTACTAAGTGTTACTTTCCTTGAATTTACTTATTATGATTGGCTCCCAAAGCAAAAGCAAGCACGTCCTACCAGGTACCACATGAACTCAGCTATCAAAAGTATCAGCATAGATATGATCTACTTTTTAGCTGTTAGACTTTAGGCTGTCAACAGTTACCAGTGTCAAAATGTAAAACCCAGCTTCAGTTTATCAGTAGTACAGAAAGAGTTAAACACTATTCAAATGTTTATGTTTAAAAGTACTTCAAAAATTCACTAACTCCCTTCACATACATATTCAACTGAACACTAGTCCCATATGATATTCCTTTAAAAAGGATTCTATGATCAATTAATGTTGGGAAACAATGTGTATTATATCCATAATGCACAGTATTATAAAAACACTGAGAAGTCCTGAAATGAAACAAAAACCTACTGTTTATTTAATAACAGTTTTCCAGACTTGTTTTACCACGAAACTTTTTTTTTTGGGGGGGTGAGGAGGGCTAATACCTATTAATACCCTGAAGAATTGGTATTCTGAGTTATAAGTACCCAAGGATAAATATATAATAAATAAAGGGATATTTATGGATACACTGAGGTGTTTTAGAGAATGAATGTTAAAGCCAAACTGTTGAAAGTCTTTCTGCATTTTGAATATTTTCTTAAAGAGACTAGAACATTTCACTAAGCAGGCTTGTCAGGGTTACCTAGGAGCAAAACCACAAGAGATTATTGTATAGACGAATCCATTACGTCTCACAGGATAGGTTAGAATAGTATATTATTTTCATGTAAGACTGATGCAATCTTTTTTTGCATTAAGATATAAGAAAAAACTTTATCACTTTCCTTAAATTTGTCCTTCATCCTGGAAAATAATCCTGTTTTGATCTATAAAAAGGGTAACATAATCAAAAATGCATTTAAGGGTATATGATTCACAAGCTTTGTTTTAAATTTAGAGTATATTAAGTGTGATACCCATAGTTAAGTGGATGTGGCATACTGCAATACTTTACGTAGTCATTATGATTTGTATCACACAGGCTTAAATATAAAAGAACTCTGACTCTCTCTAGAACTGTGTACAAACACATCCACACACATGCACTCACGCACACACAATTGACTTTTCCACTTTACCATTTTGATACCCTCCCCACGGCACAGCATTTCGTACTTCTGTCTCTCTGGCAGGTAATCCACAGCAACTCCTTTTTTCTTCAGTGTGGTTTTCTGATCAGATTGGTCATCTGAAGTAGACTTATTGGAATCTTTTTCTTTAGTCATTATATACTCAAAATATTTTAAGTTACCATTGGCTCTCTGATGTTCAGGATCTATTAGAAGAGAAAGGCAGCATGTCCGCTGGTTAGTTTACAGTTGTTCAAGCATCAGAATATAGTAATATAGAGGAGCATATAACTTATCTTTCCACTCAAGATGTTTTTGAGAGTAAAAGGGGACTAATAAAAACTATTACACCAAAACAACAGGTGTAAACCAGTACTGACCCAAATAAATCAGGACATATTTACTCTATATAAAAACAGTTTGGAGAAGGATGCAACTATTTATTTCAAGGTAGCAATTATTGCTTCTACTTTGAGAGCTAACTAAATGAGCTAAAGGAACTATGTTCAATTTGATGTCAGATGAAGTTTAAAATCTAACTCATCCTACTTATCAAGCAATGGGAAAGATTTTTCTGAGACTGAAAAGTAATCACCATGGGGAAGACAGGGCATACATAGTTCAAAAGCAACCTTCACAAATACATCACAAACACAGAACACAGCCTACTTCTGAGGATTGAGTGGATTTCAGTCCCAAATTTCTAAGTGAGAAGAAAAAGGGAAACTAAAGATGTAATTTTCAAGTAAACCAGAATCTACTAACTGCCTCAGAATTGCTAGTCATAATTTTTAGCTACCTTTAGTAGGGGAAAAGAGGGTTACTCCATCCATCCGGGGGAAAAAAAATCCAAACACACACATATAAAAAAGACAGCAGAAGAGTACATACAGACTTCACTTGAGAAGGTAATTAAAGGGTTTAGGAATTCTAGCCTAGATTTATAAAATATTTCTTGTCCTTGGGAAAGTGCTCACAACTTACATTATAATATATAGTACGTGCCTAATCTTGTAGAAACAAGTGCAGGGATGAGGGATCTGTAAATAAGCAACAACCAGAAAAAAATTGTGGGTATCTTTGGATGATTGGCTTATGGACTGGCCTCTTTTACTTTTTTTTTGTTTTGTTTTAAATCTACAATAAGTACACAGTACTTTTTAAATCAGGAGGGAAAAATCACTGAAAAATACTGAATAAAGAAAGGTTACTTGAATTAATATCCCAATTTATTAATTCACCCAACTAAGAAATAACCAAATTATCAAAACTTCAGTTTTCAGATAACAAGTCCTTTTGAACTGTTTGACTCTTTTAATATACACATATTTACTTATCCATAAAAATAATTATTTTTTTAAGTTTTAAAGCTTCATTATATACCAAAGGCCACTTGAATTTATTAGCGTATAAATTCTAGGCTCCATCTTCAGAGATCTTAATTTAGCAGATCTAGGGTAGAAACTAAGAACTTCTCATTTTTAACAAATACTCAGGTAATTCTGGTGCAGAAATACTGGGCCATATTTGGAAAAACAGTACATCTCTGTTCAAAATACTGGTGGTAAAATTCTCATAAGATACTCATTTATTTCAAATCATTTTATTTTTGAAGACGAAACGCAATAAACCAAAAACGCTCTTCAAAGGAAATTACTTAAAATTTAATGTGGAAAACATCTAAATAAACATTTTTGATTGAGTTAGCTAGGTTATGGTCCAATTTTGAAATTCCTGAAGAGTACAGGTTGAAGAAACACAGGCAGTCTTTATAAACTGTTACAGTTCTATCAAGTCAGAAAAATCAGTTGCCATTTACTTTGAGGATAATCAGGGAAAGGATGAAGCATGTCTGAAAATAAGGTTCTTGACAGCTAAAAAATTAAAAGTATCAAAGCTATATGACTATATGCACAGTCAATCCTCATTATTCCCAAATTCAGCACTTGAGAATTCACTTACTCACTAAAATTTATTTGTAACCCCAAAATCAAATAATCATGGTGTTCCTGCAGCCATTCACAGACAAGTGTGGAGCAGGAAAAAATTTGAGTTCCCAACCCACATGTTCCCAGATGAGGCTGAACAAAGAAATGCTCTGCCTTCTTGTTTCAGCTCTCATAATACAAACAAGCATGCTATATTTAGTGCCACATTTTTTGTATTTTTGTGCTTTTTGTTGATGATTTTGCTGTTTTAAATGGCCCCTAAGCGTAGTGTTAAAGTGCTGCCTAGTGTTTCTAAGCACAAGAAAACTGTGATGTACCTTACAGAGAAAATGCAAGTTAGATAAGCTTCATTCGGGCATGACTTATAGTGCTGTTGGACATGAGTTCAATGTTAATGAAGCAATAATATATATTAAACAAGGTATCTTTAAATAGAAACATACATAAAACAAGGTTATTTACTGATCAGTTGATGAAAATGTTGTGACCAGAGGCTCACAGGAACCTATCCCTGTACTGTATTTTTATACAAATAACATGTGTCTTCTGTGTTTGTTTGCCAACTGTGCCCTCCCCCCATGAGATATTTTTATAAGCATGCTATGCTAATTTTTTTTTTTTTTTACAGCAACATATAAAAAAATTGGCATAGCAGCACGGTTGGCAAACAAATGTGCAAGGTGTGAATTATTTGCATAAAAATACGTTTTTTTCCCCTAGGAAGTAATGGTTCAGTATTTAATTCAGCATTTGTTATTTGTTCACAGTGACTTCACAGAACATACCAAAACCAAATCAAACGCACTGAGTCAATTCCAACTCATAGCGACCCTAAAGGACAGAGTAGAACTGCCCCATAGGGTTTCCAAGGCTGTAAATCTTTACAGAAGCAGACTGACACATCTTTCTCCCGCAGAGTAGTTGGTGGGTTTGAACTGCCAACCTTCTGGTTAGCAGCCAAGCACATAATCACTACACCACAAGAGCTCCTTTTATAGAACATAACTATCACAGATAACAAGAATAGACTGTACACACACACCCCAATATATCTTTACTCTTGAGTCAGACTCATTTAACATACCTAGTTCAAGAAGCTTCTTTGTGAGCAAAAGCGCCTTATCCAGGTCTCCCTGCTGGTATACAGCATAGCTCAAATAATCTAGAACAGAGACTTTATCAATAGTAGAAACCTCGCCTTCATCCAGCTGCTTTAGTGCTTGTTCCATCCACAGTTCAGTATGGTAATAATCTGCTTCTGTATAGGCCACTTTGCCCAACTCAAAGCAGTCATCAACTGTTAGAAAAGACTGGTGTTTTACTCCTACGGAAAGAAGAAATACAGAGAACTTTAAGAATTTTACTACCACTCCATATTTATTTAGGGCTATGCGGCTTTCAAAGTGCTACTCACTTTCATCTGAACTTCATGAAAATCCTCTGAAGTAGGAAAAGCAGAAATCACCCTGATTTTAAAAATAAAGGGATAATCTACAAGGTAATGTAACATTACAAGAATCACAAAGCCGGTAATAGGGGATGTAGAACCTAGAGAACCCAAGACTTCTAAATTATCAGCCATCAAACCAAAATGAAACATCAATTAAGTTGAAATATGCTATTTTCTAACACAGCAACAATCATCATATGAGATATACTTATTTCATTTCTAACCAACAATCTGGGCCAGAGATGAATGCACGGGAAGAGAGGCAAACCTGTCAACTGTTTGTTTTCTTTCTTTCTTTTAACAGCGTTAACGGTATACATACCATAAAGTCCACTCATTTAGAGTATACAAGAGTTTTTAGTGTATTAGAGAATTGTGCAACCACAATTTAATTTTACAACATTTTCATCACTCCCAAAAGAAATCCTATAATCGTTAGCAGTCATTCCTCATTACCTCCCCGTCTGTGCCCCAATCCTAATCTATTTTCTCCTCTATAGACTTGCTTATTGTGAACATTTCATAAAACAGAATCATACAATATGTGGTCTTTTGTGACTAGCCTTTTTCACTTAGTACAATGTTTTCAAGGTTCATCCATGTTGTAGCATCCTTTTTATTGCCAAATAATATTCCATTGTATGGATATCCACATTTTGTTTATCAGTTGATGGACGATTTGGAATGTTCCATTTTTATACTTATTACGAATAATGCCACTATGAACATTTTCATGGACAAGTTTTTGTGTGGACATATGTTTTCATTTCTCTTGAGTATATAAGTGGAATTTGGGGTCATATGATAACTCTATGCTTAACATTTTGAGGAAATACCAAACTGTTTTCCAAAGTGGCTACGCCATTTTAAATTCCCACCAGCAGTGCATTTTCTCCACATTCTCACCAAAACTTGCTACTGTCTTTTTTAAATAAAGCCATTCAGATGGGTGTGAAGTATTATCTCATGGTAGTTTTGATTTGTACTTCCTGAATTCTCACCTTCCATATGGGAGGACCTGCGTTTGATTTCTGGCCAATGCACCTCATATGCAGCCACCACCCATCTGTCAGTGGAGGCTTGTGTGTTGCTCTGATGCCGAACAGGTTTCAGCAGAGCTTCCAGAGTAAGATGGACCAGGAAGAAAGCCCTGGCAATCTACTTCCAAATATCAGCCAGGGAAAACCCTATGGATCACAGTGGTCCAATCCACAACCGATCATGGGGGTGGCACAGGACTGGGCAGCATTTCATTCCGTTGCGCATGGGGTTGCCATGAGTTGGGGGCCAACCTGGTGGCAGCTAACAACAACAACTAATGATGCTGAGCAATGTTTTATGTGCTTATTGGCCATTTATGTATCTTCTTTGGAGAAATGTTTATTAAAATCCTTTACCCACTTTTAAAATTGGGTTATTTGTCTTTTTATCAGAGTCCCTGGGTGGTGCAAACAGTTACACATTTGACTGCTAACTGAAAGGCTGGTGATTAGAATCGACCCAGAAGTACCTCAGAAGAAAGGCCTGGTGATCTGCTTCCAAAAGAGTCATAGCCTTGAAAACCCTATGGAGTATAGTTTTACTCTGCAACACATGGGTCACCATGAGTCAGAACCGACTCAAGGCAACTGGTGTTTGTTTTAGTCTTTTTACTATTGAGTTGTAAGAATTCTTTATATATTCTGGATTCAAGTTCCTTACCAGATACATGATTTGCAAATATTTTTTCCCATTCTACAGGTTATCTTTTCACTTTCTTCATTGTGTACTTTGAAGCACAAAAGTTTTTAATTTTGATGAAATCCAACTTATTAAGCTTCCCTTTTATCATTTGTGCTTTTAGTGTCATATGTCAACTGATTTCTGAAGTGAAATTTCTATCGTTAAGAGAAAGACATATTTGACAGTTCACATGAAATAAAATATAAACAGAAAACCAAAATACTTGGGGAAATACTTAGCCTCATAATTCTTGAAGAAATATGAAAATAAAACAACCATGAAGAACATACATAAAACTAACAAAAAATATTTTTAAATAACACTACATGATAGGCATTTGTCACTCATTTAATCTTAAAAAGCAATCCTATTACAGATGAGGAACTGAAGTGCCCAGGGTTGCACAGGTAATAAGTGATACAGCCAGAATCAGTATGTGCACAATATGGCTCTAGAAGTTTGAGCCCCTGATATTATATTAAATAAATAAATAAATGGTAAAACTTAATAGGGAGAAGAGGTAACAATGTAAACTAGTAATTTTCCTTTTAAAAAATTCAGCAATGTGACAAAGGACTAATAACTTTACAACTTATTACTTAATACTATAATTTTTTAATTATTTCCTTGAGATTTAGTACTGGGAGGCAGAGAAAACACCTTCTTATATAAAAGATTATTGTAGCTGAACCAAATATTATCCCTAAAAACTATAATAAGCTAAGAGCAAGGAAATGAGTAGGCAGATATAGCAACATAAAAAAACAGTATTTTTCATTAGGAAAGGTAATTTCAAATGCCACGCAGGAAAGCCAGAAAAATCTATACAGAAATATGTCAAAATGGTAACTTGTGAACTTGCGGGGGAGGATTACAAGTAAATTGTTTCCTATTTCTTTATACTTTTCACCTTTTCAAAAATACTACAATTACCATGTATTACCTTTATAAGAATAAATAAAAGACAAAGGGACCTCATACCACCAAGAAAGCAGTGCCAAGAGCAGAGTGCGTCCTTTGAACCCAGGGTCCCTGTGCGGAGAAGCTCCTCGTCCAGGGAAACATTGATGAGAAAGCCGGCACCCAGACAGAAAGCCTTCCCCTGGAGCTGACGCCCTGAATCCGGACTTTTAGCCTACTGGACTATGAAAGAATAAACTTCTCTTTGTTAAAGCCATCTACTTGTGGTATTTCTGTTATGGCAACACTAGATGACTAAGACAGAATTTGGTACCGAGAGAGTGGGGTGCTGCTCTAAAAGATATCTAAAATGTGGAAGTGGTTATAAAACTGTGCATGGATAGAGGAGCAGCAGCGGCAGAGGACCAGCAGCCGCAGGAACCTGCAGCGGCAGCAGCAGAGAACCAGCAGCAGCAGAACCAGGAGACCAGCGCGAGACGGCACTGGAGCGGATCCATGAAGCGAGAGAGCTGAGTGCCTGTGCACAGGAGGCTTCCTGGTGGAGTAGGGTGCCTTTGAGCACTTATCAGTGGAGCTAGCCTTGCCGACCCACAGAGCGAGGAAGCTGAGTGCCTGTGTGCAGGAGGCTTCCTGGCGGAGTGGGGTGCTTCCAGGTACTTATTGGTAGAGCTACAGAGCTCTGGAACACTTGCCCCAGCAGGGCAGATATCGGCATGAGATTCAAGCGGCTGAGAGGCCAAGAAACCAGGAAGCAGAAGGTGAAGAGACAGGGAACACCGGAAGCCAAGCTGCCTCAGTCTCAAAAGGTATGTCCTGGATCTCTGGGCTTTCAAAGGGTAGAACCATGGCCTCTGGTGTTTCAAAGGGTACCAGTAGCCACTCAGAGGGACTAGGAGCATGGTATGCTTAAAGCTGAGGGAGCAGGGTTGCTGTCCCAGTGGGCCTGGAAGGCAGAGCTGAAGCCCAGGGCCGAGGGGTCTCCACTCAGAATCTGGAGAGTGTGGCCAGTACCTAGAGTCTAGAGGGCAGGGCCATTGCGCAAATGATGTCAGAGAGCAGAGGATTATTTTCAAGCCTTGAGGGCTAATGTAATGTGTTCTGCTGACTTGCTTGGTGCCTGTTATCCTTTCTTCTCCTCTAGTTTCTCCCATTTGTAATGGAAATGTCTAGCTTGTGTCTGTTCTGCCATTGTACCTTTGGAAGCAGATAACTTGCATTCTAGATTTCACAGATAAGGAGGAATTTTTGGATTTTGGACTTGGAGTTAAGACTTTTTCTATGATATGATGGGGTGAATATGTTTTCCATGTTGCAAGGATGTGATTTTTTGGGGACCAAAGGTGGAATGTCATGGATTGAATTATGTCCCCCAATAAAAATTGTGTATAAATTTGGCTGGGCCGTGATTCCCAGTATTGTGTGGCTGTCTTCCATTTTATAATTTTACGTTAAAGAGGATTAGGTGGGATTATAATACCCTTACTAAGGTCACACCCCTGATCCAATGTAAAGGGAGTTTCCCTGGGGTGTGGCCTGCACAACCTTTTATTTTAGAAGAGATAAAAGGAAAGGGAAGCAAGCAGAGAGTTGGGGACCTCATAGTACCAAGAAAGCAGGGCCAGGAGCAGAGTGCATCCTTTGGACCCATGGTCCCTGCATGGAGAAGCTTCTAGTCCAGGGGAAGATGGATGAGAAGGCCGAGAGAGAAAGAAAGCCTTCCCCTGGAGCTGCTGCCTTGAATTTGGACTTTCGGCCTCCTTTACCGTGAGGAAATAAACTTCTCTTTGTTAAAGTCACAAAAAAAAAAAAA